AATTAGCAAAGAATATCTTACTCCTCTCCTTGGGACAACAGAGAGTCACGCTGGAGCGACTGCCGGCAGCCTCCGCCTCCCAAGGTCGACAAGGCCTTACCAGGCCTCACTCCCCAACCCCACAGACTCAACAGCAGGGAAACCTGCACCTCCAAAGGCGCCGGAAGGAAAGAGAGCCAAGGCCTTTCCTCCCTCCTTCTTCTACCCCAGCTGACGTAAAAATCGTAGGGAATACCGGGTAAATCTGGGCACTTCCTTGGTTCCAAACTGGTCCCCAAGGAAGGCCTAGACCAAACTACCAGAGAGAGGGAAGCAGAGAGGCTGAGTTTTGAGCCCAGCACAAAGGTGTGCAGGGCAGAGCAGAGAAGATCCCCCCAGAAGATTCTTGTTGGTCCATCTTGGCAGTTCTGACAGGCACTTCTTGTCACGGCCTATCCTCTCCATTCCAGAAGAGGCCCTGGCAACCAAAGAACCAACCCCCCACACCAGAGTGCACACCAACTCATGTGCTTTGGACCCTTTTGTTATCCTCTCCATTCTGGCCTATCCTCTCCATCCCGCAATAGCCTCCAGAAACCAAAGAACCAAGCCCCCACCATGGGACAGTTCAACCCCATCCGTGTGTGCCAAGGGCTCCTTTGTCATGTCACGGCCTATCCTCTTCATTCTGCAATGAGCCCTGGCAACCAAAGAACCAAAGCCCTACAAGCCCAAAGTGAAGCCCCAGCCGTGTGCCAAGGGCCCCTTTGTGATGTCACGGCCTATCCTCTCCATTCCGGAATAGTCCCTGGCAACCAAAGAACCAATGCCTCACACCCCCCCAGTGCAGCCCCACCTGTCTGCCACGGGACTCTTTGGGATGTCACGGCCTTTCCCCCGGAAAGAAAGCCTGGAACCTTGGGGTTTCAGATGCACTTGACGGGCCACCCTGCGCACTCCTTGGGCAGAAAGAGCTTTCTGTCCTGCCACCTTTTGTCTGGCAGGAATCTTTGTCCATCTTCAATTTGGGGAGTGGGACTGGCAATTTCAGCGCAGGGCTCCTGCAAGTGAATGACAGCCCTTCCCTCCAGGAAAGAAAGCCCTTCCCCTGGGTCTCGAGGAGCCAGCAGGAAAGCTGGGCAGGCCCCAAGGCTCCTGGGCCTCTTCCTTGCCAGCCCTTTGCCCAAGGCCCCCAGGCAGAGGTGGGGCTCAGCCCTTGCACAGCAGTGGGGCCCAGGCTGAGCCCCAGGGACTCCAGAGCCAGGCGGCCTGAGCTGTTCTCCCTGCAGCGTCTGCCTGGGGCAGCCCAGCCAGGCCTGAGTCTCTGCAGGAGAGGCCAAGCCCAGCCAGAGAGGGCTCAGCCCTCTGAGGCTGCACTCACTCCAAAGGGAACAAAACATTGGCCTAGAGGACATCCTGCCCCCAGATGGAGAACTGCAATTGTCAAGAATAAAAGAGTCAGCCCCCTCCATTCTTCAAGAAATCTTTCGACCTCTGTTATAAGTAAATGAATATAGGCGGAAATATAGCAATAAAAAATTTATTGAAGATTTACATAAAAGGCAAATAAGCAAAACATCGCGCTGGGCGGCCGGGGAGACCCCTGCTCCACTCACGGCACGCAAGCGCAGGAAGCAAAAACAGTAATTTTTATTCCCTTATCAGTTCCCCTCCCATAGTCACTTGGTATCCCTCTATTGGATCCGAGTTTGCAGGTCTGGGTCTGGTTGGCTTCCCTGCAGGCCCGTTTCAGTTGCCAGGTGCTTTGCTTTCCATAGTTTTAATCAGTCCTTCGTCCTTGAGGCCCAGTGTGCAGCTTGGTGTGTAGGTATCTCCAGATGTCCATCTTGGATTCTCTGTATTGTTCTCGTACTGGACCCTTTGATCCTTGTCCTTCCCTTCGTTACTTTATGCGTGTGCTATGAGACAATAAGCTTTTTAGAAAAATAAGATACAAAATACTTATTCAACAAGGCACAATAATTTGTCTTTTCAGCTTAAGAACTGCAAGCTGCAGGACTATCAGCTTACAATGCTGACAGATTAATGAACCATTCTGCAACTTACAGTCTTCCAACCTTAACAGAACATTGCTTATAATAACATATAAATGTATATAAGAATATAACATGCAATAGAATTTAATAAGTAAACTACTACTACTAATTTGATGAGTAAATGAAATTACTACTACTAATTTATTACAATTCCCCCCCTTTTATTTATTCATAAATTTGCTCATCAAATCTTTCGACAGCTTCTTTGGCTGCTCTTAACAGAGAAGACTGCTCTCCCTTTATGCCACTGCTCATGTCTTCATAATACTGCCTGGGAGTGTTAAGCTCCATATTGTCAGTCTGTTCTTCCTCTTTTGTATTGCCATTCATATTCTCATAATTTTGTTTTCTAGTCATGAGCTGTATGTTTTCAACCCTCTCCCTGATGAATTTTGTTACTTTACTAAGAATGCATGGGCCAAAGGTTAACGCGGCTAGTAGTGTTATCAGAGGCCCAGTTGACCCCAAATGTTACAATACAGAAACAAATACAAGTACAAAACAATAGTGATCCATAAAACAAAGCCAAATACCAAATTCCAGAATACCAAAGAACCCACCCAAAGTGCTGGAAGATCCACAGGTCTCAGATGAGCAGGATTCCCTAAATACCAAAGAACCCACCCAGGGCACTGAAAGATCCATACGTTTGACATGGGCAGGATTCCCAAAAAGAAGGCCTTATTATCCAATGAGATCTTACCTGTGTCCCAGATGGGGCTGGGGATCTGTGCTCTTCTGCAGCAAAGTCCTGGTGCTGGCGGGAAGATCCAGAGATCCCTCGGATCCGCGGGAGATCAGGCAGAGGTGTCCTGTCTGGGGGGGTCAAAAATTATACCCAAAAGCCACTGAGATACAGCTCGAGCAAGCTGAAAACTAAACTGTCATTTGGGGTCATCCCAGATCGACTGGATTTCAGAAATTACTCAACACAGGTGCCACCTCCTCCAGCCAAGCCCAGGAGATCAACCTCCTCAGCAGCTGCAAGAGCGGGATGTTCCTGTGCCTGCTGCCATCTCCCTAAAGCCATTATCCCACTCCTGCTGAGAAGATGGGCAAGAGGAGCATCTACCTCACAAGATCTGCTGCCGGAAGAAGAGCGTGTCCCAAAGGATGTCCTCAGCCTTCTCAGAGGGGACGTCAGATCCACTCCAGGGGTGGTCCCAGCCCTTCCCAATCCGGACCGGGCACCTGCTCCAACTCTTCCCTTGAAAACAAACAACAAATTCATGACGAGAGATTAAAAACCAAAAGTGGAAACAAGAAAAAAAGGTAAAAAGTTAACATTGTGTCAGGGTTCTGGGGAAGGCCCAACCCCTCCAGGCCAAAGAAAAACCCCACCTCCTCCAGCTCAGGAAAACCCAAGCCTTCTCCCTGCCCTGCTGCATTGGCCCAAAGAAAGGCTCCTAAGCCAAGGCAGCCCAAGCCTTTCCTGGCCTGCAGAGCAAAGCAGCTGGTGTTGTGCAGCCCCGCCTTTGCTCCCCCCACGGGGGTTTGTTTTTGGCAGGCTGGCTGCCCCTGCCCCAGCCCCGCCCAGCAAAGGGGCAGTGGCGGAGGCTGGAGGCAGAGCCGGGCTCCCATTTCACAGCCAGCCCAGAGCACCCGCCCACCCTTCTGCCAAGAAGCAGCTTGGCAGCCGGCTGAAGAATTCCTCAGGTTCCCCGCCAGCAAAGGGGGGAACCTTCGGTGCCCAGCCAGGCTGAGCAATGCCCGCCTCCGGGAGCACCCCCTGGGTGTGGACTCATCTGCAAACGGCGTGGGGAGCACGTCTTGGAGGAAGGGGCCACAATCAGCGTCCATCATCTTCAGCTCCCCAGTGTCCAGCTCAACTAAGAGCTTGTCATCCTTCACGTCGTCCTCGATGTCTCCAGCAGCAGGCCCACCCGGCACAGCTTCTCCAGAGGCCCCTTCTCCTTCCCTGGGGGCCAGACCAGGCTGTCAGCGTTCTGCCGAGGGCCCCAGCTGTCTGTGAAGCGGGACCAGCAAAACCAGGTTGGATGGTGGCCACCAGCACTTGGAAGACCGGGTCTGCAGCCCAGCTCCAGCACAAAGAGGGCCGTGTTCCAATGTGATGACCCCCCCTCAGTGCTACAGATGTGTGGAGGTGTTACTTGCCAGGCTGCTGGATCAAAGTGAGCACGTAGATCTCTCCCGTCTTCTAGGGCCGGTGAATGCCCTTCACCCAAGGATGGCACAAGAGGTCTTCTAATGATGGTCTGTCCGAGGGGCGGAGGGACAAACACCACCTGATCAGGTGCTGGCAGCCTGGGGGGAAAATGGCCGGTCAGTTGGAGAAGGATCCTGTCCCCTTGGTCCCACTGTCCACGTGCCCAGGCTGTGCTGGCTGTGCTCAGAGCTGTGCCCAAACTTCTCCATCCATTCTCCAGTTTGGAGGAGAGCAGGATGGCAGGACACAGGCCACCTCCTCCAGCCAACCACGGGACACAAACAGCTTCAAGAGCGGTGTCCTCGTGAGCCCGCTGCCATCTCCCAACACCGTTATTCCCCCCGTGCCACAAAGATTGGTATCCACCTTGAGAGACCCGTGGTGGGAACAGGAGCTGGTCCCAGATGGTGTCGGTTCCTTTGCAGAACGGGTGCTTCCCGCAGACCATCTGGTAGAGCAGGATGCCCAGGGACCAGATCGTTGCTGCCTCGCCGTGGTATCGTTTGAGGTAGATCCACTCTGGCGGGCTGTATGACAGTGTTCCTACAGAATACAGACACAGTTCATCAGGTGGATGCTGCCTGCTCCCAGAGCCTCACCCCAGCATCCCTGGCAATGTGGGGCCTGCCCCAGTGGCACACGCTGTGACCCACTGCCTTCTCGCCGGCCCCTCACTCTTGGTTACAAACTTTGGGGTGGACAAGAAGCCGCTGGTGTCCAAGAGGGCAGTGGAAGCCCTGGCAAGGCCCAACCATTCCATGCAAGGGAAAAACCCAGCCAGAGGTGGGGAAAAGCCATGCCTTCTCCCCGCCCCACTGCACTGCCCCCAACAATTCATCAGAAGCCAAGGCAAACAAGGCAAGCAGAGCAGCCCAAGCCCTTCCTCGCCTGCACACCAAGCCAGCTGGTGCACAGTTCTGAAACCCTTCTCTGCTCCCCTCACGGGGGTTTTGGTCAGGTTGGCTCCCCCCTGCCCCACACCCAGCCCGGGACAGGGTGGGTGGCACAGGCTGTCAGCAAGGCCGGGGCCTGTCTCGCAATAAACCCCCAGCCCCACCCAAAAGCAACTTGGCTGAAGAACTAATCCTGTCCCCCCTCAGCCAAAGGGGCAATCTCCGGGGCCACACCCGGGCATGGCCATGCGATGCCCGGCACCAGGAGCATCCCCCGGCTGTGGGCTCACCTGCAAACTGGGTGTAGGCCGTGTCCTGGAGGAAGGTGCCACATCCAAAGTCGAGGAGCTTGGCCTCGCCGGTGGCCAGGTGGAGGAGGATGTTCTGGGGCTTGATATCCCGGTGCAGGACGCCGCAGCTGGTGCAGTGCCGCACGGCCTGCAGCACCTGGCAGAACAGCCCCCACGCCATCTCCTCCGGCAGGAACCCCCACGCCGTGATTAAGCGTGAGAGGTCCTGAGACGGCTCCGGATGCTCCATCACCATGAAGAATCCGTTGGGGAGCTCGAACCACTCCAGGAACTGGATGACACCGGGAAAGCCAGTGGACACCTTGCTCAGCAACACGATCTCCAGGGGTGCCCGGGTGCCGTCAGGCTGCGGGGGGACCACGGGGTCGTCAGTGGGGCTGATGCCGTGCCTGTCTGCCTGCTCCCCCTCCGCCAGCCCTGGATGCTCCCCGTCCCCCACTGAGCCCACGCCCGCTCTCCCTCCAGGGCTCCCGGCGGCTTCCACCCTCCCGGGCCTCGGCTCGTCCCCGCCCGTCCCGCCCCGCTTTCTGCCGCCGGCCCCGCTCACTCACCAGCTCGCCCCAGCGCCGGATGCCATCCCGGGACACGGCTTTGATGGCCACCTGCAAGCCAAGGGGAACGGCGGGTTCAGCTCGTCGCCCGCTCCTCCTCCTCCTCCTCCTCCCCCTTCCCCTCCTCCTCCTGCTCCTCCTCCTCCTCCTGCACTCACCGGGGCTCCGTCCGCCAGGCAGGTCCCCGCGTAGACGCGGCCGAAGCCGCCGCTGCCCAGCAGCGACTCCAGCCGGTAGCGCTCGTGCAGCGGCTCCTTGGCCTTCCGTGCGGGCGAGACGTGGCCGGGAGCGTTCGGGCCGGGGCCCGGCCCGGCCCCCGAGCGCCCCTCAAGCGGCCCGGGCCGGGCTTCCCCAGCCGCAGCGGGCAGCGGCGGCTCGCTGCCGGCGGCCGGGCTGGCGAGCGGCGGAGCTCTGGCCGGGGAAGCCGCCGAGGAGGCGGCAGCGGCCGCGGCGCCCGCGTCCCCCGCCGGCCCCGGCAGGCGCCGGGCTCGAGCCAGGCGGAGCCAAGGGGCGGCGAGGCCGAGCCCGTCCCACAGCCAGCCCCACAGGAGCGCCCAGCAGCGCCACAGCCGGCGCGCCGGGAGCCGGGCGAGGGCGAGACCGCGCCGGGACAACCGGGGACGGGGCCGGGGCGGCCTCGGCCGGCAGAGGGGAAGGGCCGGGGCCATGGCCCGGGCCGGCAAGTGGAGGGGGAGACCGGGAACGGGACAGGGACACAGGGACAGGGACACCGGGACAGGGACACCGGGACACCGGGACTGGGAGAGGGAGAGGAGGAAAAGGCAACACGAAGAGTAATAGCGAGTGCGCTTCTATAGTCGCTGCTGCTGCCGCTGCTGCTGCAACTGCTGCTGCAACTGCTGCTGCTGCCGAAGCTCCGGGGCCGTTTCTCCGTTTCTTGTTGGCCCCCGCGAGCCCCGGGGGCAGCCCCGGCCGCAGTCACAGAGCTCCAGCCCCGGGGGAGGGCAGAGCAGGAGGATCGGCAGGGGAAATGCAGCCCTTTGGGGTCAGCGCTGCTTCCCGACCACACCAGGGCTGCTCCTGTTTTCCTGCCCGGTTCGAGGGAAAATCGGCGACTGCAGAGAGGATTAAGAAGAAGAGAATCAGAAGACTAATCTTGCTGCCATTTGGATGCCAGTCCATCCTAATAAATGCAGGCTTAATTTGGAAAGGACACGATGTAGCAGCTTTTTCAGCACCCAATATTTAACAGCTGCCTTTCAGGGGACAATGGGAAAAGGGGGGGAGAACGGGAGAAAAGGGGGGCTGGGACCTCCAAAGTGACCGAGGAAGGGGCTGAGACTCTGAAACCGAGCAGGGCAGAGGGGAAAAAACACCCCCAAATCGAGCTGGGGGGGAGCTGGGGACGGTGGGGATGATGGGAAAGGGGTGGGAGAGGGGAGAAAAGGGGTGTTGGACAGTGGGCAGGGGGACAGAGGGCAGGGGGTTCCCAGATGGGTCTCCCCTGTCCCCCATCACTTGAGCCCTGGAGTGGTTCCCTGGGGCTCTGGGAGGGGGCAGATCCGCACTGGGAATGTCCACTGCTTCTGGAACCCTTTGTGTGCTTGCTCTGGTCCCGATTGTCCACAGGTGCCCAACCCCCCTGTCCATCCCTGGGGGGCTGATGGGGGGACTCCCCCACCCAGCAGCTGGTGCTGCAGCAGCTGGGGGGCAGAGGGGGGTGGCAAAGGGGGGTCCGGGGTGGCTCCCTGAGCTCCCAACCTGCTGTGGGGGCTGAGGGCTGCTGGGGGGGCACCCCCTGACCTGTGTCCCTGCACACCCAGGGCTGTTCCAGGTCCTGGGAAAAGCCGAGTGAACGGCCCCGACCGGGAGAGGTTCCTGCCCGGGTCCATCTCCAACTGGGAGCAGCTCAGGCTCCTCAGCAGAGATTTGGGCACCTGGGGGGACACCCTGTGTGGGGAGACCTAGGCCAGGCACTGGAAGAGCCAAAGGGAGCTCCTGGAGAACAGACAGGATCAGGGGACATCAACTGCTGGCACAACTACAAGAATGTGGCCCCGTTTGCCCGGCCTGGGAACCCCCATTTTTGGGGTAATCTCCCCCAAATCCTCCCAAATCCTCCCCTGAATCCCCAAATGCCCCCAAATCCCGGTAAAATAGTGGGGCTTTAGATGTCTTTGTTGAATTTCTTTCTTTTATATTCAACAAATCAGCTCTTCCCAATGAATTTCCAAGGTCAGTTTGTGACCCCGTGGATGTTTCTCCCACTGTGTTCACCCAGGTGCCTGTGGGGAACCAGGAGGATGTGGAGACCACCAGCCAGGTGTCTTCCCAACGTGGATCCTCTGATGGGTGATGGAGTTGGAGCAGCAGACGAAGCTCTTCCCACAGTCAAGGCACTTGCAGGGCTTCCCTTACTGGTGGGTCCCTTGGTGTGAGGTCAAGGCAGAGCTCTGGGTGAAGCTCTTCCCACACTCCCGGCATCGTAGGGCCTCTCCCCGCTGTGGGTGACGAGGATGGAGTTGTGCTCTCTGTGCTCAGCTCGGGGCCTGGGGCAGGAAGGAAGAAGGACAGGGAGGGGATTTGCCTCCGGCCCAGAGGGAAGGCCAAGGACATCCCCCCAAATCCATCCCCGGCAGGACGGCGGCGGCAGCGGGGTTGTCCTGCAGCCGGGGGCGATGCTCGGCTGGGAGATACAGGACAAGACAGGGGCAAAGGGGCACTGACTTCCTCCTCACCTGCCTGGGGGGCCCAGGGCTTCTTCCTCTTCCTCGCAGCCTCCTCCTCCATTCGGCCAAGCTTTGGGAAGGAGAAATCCTGTTCTGGGGAGGAAAACAAAGTGTGAGTGCATTGGCTTGGGGATTCCTCCTGCCCAAGTCCATCTCTAGATGTTACCAAGTGGCTTCTGGCCAAGAAAACCTCCAAAACACCAAGATTCAGCCCAAAACAACCCTCTCAGCAGTGGAGTTCCCCCTTGCTGGTCTATCCACTTTGGGGTTCTGGGGTCCCTCCTGTGTGGGCTGCTGGGTTCCGGGGTCCCCACCCTCTCTGGGCTGCCAGAGATCCCGGGAATCTCAGGGGTCCTTCCTTTATGGGCTCCTCACTTTGCCATTCTGGGGATCCCCCTTCTCTGGGCTGCTGGGGATCCCGGGGGTTCCCCTCTCTGGGGTCCCTTTTAGGGTTGCTGGGGGGCTTTGGGGTCCCAGGGGTCTCTTCTCCCCTGACTCTCGGCTTCGGGGTGCTGGCGATCCCAAGGTGTCCAGCCCTCTCTCCAGGCTGCCGGGGGTCCCGGCTCCCCCCACCGCCCTCGCTGCTCCCCCCTCCTCTCCAGACTGCCGGGAGTTCCCCCTCTCCGGGCCCCCGTTTCACGTTCCAACCCGCACCTCTCCCAGGGGTCCCCAAAGCTGGGGTGTGTGTCCCGTGTCCCCCCACTCCCCGCCGGTATCCGGCGATCGCCACGTGGCTCCGGGGACCCAACATCCCCCTGCCCATCGCCGGGGCTCTGCCGGGAACCCACACCGGGACCCCCAAAAAACACCTCCCGGGGATCTCCCAATATCCCTCCAGGTGGCATTTGCGGCTCAGCTTTGGAGTCCTGCAGAATCCAAACATCACCCTGCCCCCCCCCCAAAAAAAATCCCAAAGTCCCCCAAGATATTTGGGGCGAGCTCCCCCTCCCCGGTCACCTGCTGGATGCGGGGGTTGATGCTCCCGGGACACGGGGGCTGCGGATACAGCGGGCGGTGGATCCACGTGCGTTCTTTCTCCTCCTCCTCCTCCTCTCCCTCCTTCTCTTTCTCCTCCCCCTCCTATTCCCACTCCTCCTATTCCCGTCGGAGCTGGGGCAGGTCGGGATGGGGCAGCGCTGGGCTCTTGGCCGCTCCCGCCCGCACTCGGCCCCCGCCGCAGCCGCCACGGCCGGGACGGCGGGGGGGGCCCGACCTGGGCACCCCCCACCTCCCCTTTGCCCAAATTCCCGTCCCGGGGG